AAGGGGGAGAAAAATTTTAAACTCAAAAGCATATGGAAGTTATTATTGATAAATCAAAATACATTAATAGAAAAAGAACACAGAATGTCAGAGCTGGGAGAGATCTTAGAATATAAAATGTCAAAACTTGATGCAACCGAGTTACTCTTACCTGTCACACTCACATAGATGCATCTTAAGCCTGTTAACCTGGCCATCCCTAGTCTGTTATAAACACAGTGTGATAGCTGGACCTTAGAGATTTTCTAGCCTAGAGATCCCACACACTACTGCCTAGAGTCAAATCCTGTCCACTATCTGTTTTTGTACCTCCTGAGGAACTAGGAATATTTTTATATTTAAGATTCAATGTACGTATATAAATTCAAAATATTTTCCATTTTTAAATATAATAAAACTTTATTTTAAAATGTGAAAATCATTCTTAGCTCTTGGTCATCCTAAAATAGGCTAGGTTGGATTTAGCCTGCAGGCCATAATTTGCTGACCCCTGATCTAGACCAAGCCCCTCACTTTAGGGAAATTGAAGCCCCAAATAACTCTTCACGAATCCTTAATTAGAAGTAGTTGGGGATAGACAATTGGGGATGGCAGGCAAGCCAATCTGAATCTGTGGCAAATCTGAATTATTGATTACTTGGGAAAAAGGAAGTACTTGCAGACTGAAAAAGTATCAATGAGGAGAACTCCTGAGGTGACCTGATTAAATGACCACAGATCTGAGGAGCTTAAAGCCCGAAGGTGCTTCCAAAGCATCCAAGGATGGGTAATTCTTTTAAACAAAGTAAACTTATTCTGTCTCAACCTAAGTCATGCAAATATACTGCACATCCATTTGGTAAACACCACTTCCTTTCCCCTTCCCTATCATCCTCCCCCATGTAAACATAGTGAAGTATTTCATCCCCAGAACATGTTTCCAACTCTGGTCCAGATTCTGGAAATCAGAGACCTAGGTTTTACTCCAGCCACGTCAACGCTTGGGATCTGTTTTCCCATCTGTAAAATGAGAGAAATATTAAGTTCCCTTCCATCTCTGAAATTCTATGTTCTAGGGTCCATCCAAGGCTGACATTCTGTGTTCTAAGGGTCCTACTAGTTCTGAAATTCTGTTTTCTAAAGTCTCTTCCATACCTGATATTGTAAAACCTCTTCCAACTTTGACATTTTGTGTTCTAAGGGATGTGTTAGCTCTAATATTGTGCGTTCTAAGGGACTTTCCAGCCTTTATATTCTCTATCCTAGGGCCCTCCCAGCTTTAACATTCTGGGTTCTAAGGCCCTCTCGGCACCTGACATTCAGTGTTCTAAGAGCCCTCCCAGCTCTGACAGTCTGTGTTCCAAGAGCCCTCCTAGCTCTGACATTCTGTTTTCTAAGGGCCCTCACAGCTTTGACATTTGATGTTCTAAGTCTCCTCCTATCACTAGTACTCTATGATTCAATGTTGATCAGGGAAATCTGAATCAAAGAGGTTTTACTGTTTAATGTGTTCTGAGATTAAATATGAATTTTCATTACTGGAGATCTATTTGCTATGGGCTCTTTGGATTGTCTGTGACATCTGCCCTCTCCCTCCCAGTTGGCAAAACTGTTTCTGGAAACACTCTTCAATACTTTACATTCATCAGCATACACAGTAAGACAACTGGAAAGTCATCTCTGCTTTTTCTTTCCATTTAAGACCTAACCTAAAGTTTCTGGTCCACATCCATCCTGACAGCAGATGGTCTTCTGCTGTTATAGAGTATAACCCAGAGACCAGGGAGCCTTCCATGGATGCTTGGACTGAGCTATCTTAGCACGAGGGCAGAGGGCCCCAGTTATGGGGGTGGGGGGGGGGACATCCCTGAGTCAGTGTCAAATATTTGCCCAGGTGTGACAGAAGAATAACTGACAGCACTGTTTCTCAGGCTGGCCCTCAAGGAAGATACAGCAGGTATACAGTCACTGGTGGGTGACCTGGGATAGAGATTAGCTTTAGTTCAATGCAGATGCTAACCCCAGGGCTGAGACCTTTTGAAGTGTGTGTGTGTATTTCAATTGAACCTTCTGTGATTGTGAATGCCCTTGCCCTGAAGATAGAGTTTCAGTGAAAGAATGGAGAGAGTGATGGGGTTCATTGAGGAGGCTGGGGAAAGTCAGTGAAGGGAGAAGTACTAACTAAAGAAGATGGTGAGGTCAGTGAGGATGAGGGTTCAGTAAGAAGGAGGAAAAGGTCATTGCAGGTATGGGAGCTTGGTGAAGAGGGTCGAGATGTCAGGAAGAAAGTTGTGGACCTCGGTGACCATAGGGTGAGGTGCTCACTGGCCTGGTTCAGTGAAAGAACGAGACCTCAAGTTGAAGGGTCAGTAAGGAGGATAGGGAGGACAACTGAGGGGTGCTGGTGCAATGAGGATAAGGAGGTCAGTGAGAAGATGGAGGGGGGTCATTGAGAGGAATAGGGAATCCAGAGAGAGGGATGAGTGGATCACCCAGAGAGAAGGAGGTAGGAGCTCAGGCATACAAATTAAGCCAATTCACCAGTGCCCGGGGTCCTTGGGAAAAGTTCAACCTTGGGCTGAGAAATCCCTAGGATTGGCTGTGTTCGAAGAACTTCACTCTCCTAAAAGCTCATCCTTGCACATAACTGGGGTGATGTTGGTCCTCCGAATTCCTGAACCTGTCTCACCTGGCCACCCTCAGCCTGTCACACTCACATAGTCCATCACACTAAAACACAAGTTGGCCAGGGCGGGGGTGGGGTGGGGAGGTTGGGGAGGAGGAGGGACAGAAAGGAGAAGGAGGTGATGACTGGCCCTGATTTTGTGTTTACGATGGGGTGTGAGAATGGATAGTTTCTCTAGGGCCTAGACTGACCTCAGAAGAGCTTTGAAAAAGAGAGTCAACTGAAAGCCAAGGCTATACTACAAAATATCTGGGGCTAGAGTGGGGCCTGAACCAGAAGGGAAATCAGAGTGTTAAAAAGACTTGCTTAAGGCAAGTGGAGGAGGCGGGATTTGAACTCAGGACCCATGACTCCCAATCTAGTGCCAAGAGGCAGTAAATGAATCATTAGCTCCCTAGTTGGCCAGTTGTCTGTCAGTGAGTGAGGCAGTATTGCTTTCGGTTGCAGGGAGGGTGTCAGCTGTTAACTTGTCAATCAATTGTCCAGGAATGAGTTTTTCAGTTCATTGTTGCTCAGTTGACTTGTCAATTGTCAGTCTACACCAGAATCATCCCAAGGTCCCAGTACATATCCATCATTAAGGAAAAACAACTCATATTTCAAAACTTGTAATGTGCTTTGCTCTCATTTCATTTGAGTCACTTGACAGCTCCTCGAGGTAGGTAAGGACAAGTATTATTAACCTCATTGTACCCATGAGGAAACTGAGGCATAGTGAAGTTAAAATGACTTGCCTGAGGTCACATAGCTAGTCAGTCAGAATTGGAATTCAAGCAGGCTTCACTCCTCTTTAACAAGATTCTCACACCTTTTGGGTTGTTCATCCTTCCCTCAGTGACCTCCTTTGCCTTCCCCTATTACTTTTGGTGTTCACAGTAACCAGATTTTGTTGGAAAGAGAGAGGGCTCATAGTGTGGTCTGCTCCAGTTTACATCTCCCAGGGATGGTCCTGGGGAGTTCAGCCACTGGTCAGGGTCCTCTTTCCAGCCTCCTGTGGAGTGCAGCCCTGCAGTAGGTGCCTTTGGGCTCCATCTGCAGCTGTCACCCCATGGTGGCCAAAGCTTTTCCCAAGCAAAGATCTATTCCCCTGGTACCCATAAGTAGGATAGGAGTGGGGGTGGGGAAGGGCATGAAGGCTTAGGAAGCTGGACCTAAGAAATTAGCCCAGTGATGTGGTTACCCTGGAAACCTTGCTTAAAGGGAATGGAAGGGGGAGAGAAAGAAAAGGAGGGGGAGGAAGGGAAAGGGAAAAGAAGTGGGGAAGAGGGAAGAGAAGAGGAGGAGAAAGGAAATAGAGAGAGAGGAGGGAAAGCCAGAGAAGCTGCTGTGTTGATCAGAACCCCAGAGATGACAATGGACCGACTAATAACACTTTACTCACTGACAGCCCAGGCATTAGACTAAGGGATCTGCTCTGACTGAATGAGACATGATTGATCGATAACTGACTGGTTCGACTGACTGATGTGCAGGACTGGGAGGCACAGAAAAGGGGGGATGGGGGGGCACAAAGGGAGCATCACTTCAAGACTCCTACAGGATGAGAGGACCTTTGGAGGTCATTTCATCCACCTCGCTGGCTCTGTGGAGAACTCCACTAATCTTTCCGCAGTCAGACTGGGTCTCTTTGAGCTCTTAGGGAATGATCCCCACCCCCACCCCCACACACTCACACACACACACACACACACTCTGGAGGCTGTATCCAGAGCACAAGCCCCTGATTCCCTAATTAGAACCAAGAAGGGCTATGACTATCAGGCACAGCAGATCAAATCCCTGTGCCTTTATGGAATGACAAGCCCCTGTCCCTTAATCTTGCCTCCCCCTCCCCTTATTGCCCTGGGTTCACAGAAGGCCACAGATGCTGCTATTAAAAATGGTTTAGGGGAAAGACCTGCTTTTGTGTTTTTAAGGAGAAGCAAGGGAGTTCTGGGGAAGACAAAGCCAAGGACTTACGGTTGGAGTGGGGAGGGAGAAGGGGAGCTGCCTTCTTTCTGACACCTGGAGGTCTAAGAAGGAGTGGGGTGACAGTCCCCAATTAAACCCTTTTCAACCTTTCCAAGGTGGGATTTAGAGGAAGGGAATCAGATCCTTGGGAAAGCCTGGGGAGGATGGACCGCAGAAGGCAGGAAGGGGTTCCGGGGAAGGTGCTGAGCCAGAATCCACAATGACTGTATCTTAACTGGACCTAGTGCCAGGCAGAGAGTTGCAGCCACCCCTGGCTGTTCTCCATACCCCAGATGGGAGGGCCAGAGCAAGATGCTTTTTGGACTTGCAGGACTCTTCACTCCCAGGAAAGGGGTCAGTTCAGAGGCTGGGGCTGGGGACTGGAGGCGTGTGTGTGTGTGTTTGTGTAGGTGACTGGGGCAGGGTGGGGGGGAAGGGGGAGGTGGTAATACGGATGGGGGTGGGGAGAACAAGCTTACCCGAGGCAGGGGACTAGCCCCCGTCCGGCTGCCAGCGTCGGTCCCCGGGGTCCAACCACTGAAGGGAGGAGGTGACCTCAGCTTTCTCCTCCGAGAACGCCCGCTGCGTTGGGCACCATGCCAGCCTCCCTGGAGCCCTCCCCCTGCTTGGGGCCCCGAGCCCCTGGGGACCCCGTACACCAGGGAGCTGCAGCTCAGAGGCTGGACGGCTGCTCCCGAGGTGGGGAGTCGAGGACTGTCCCCTGGAAATCTCCACTGAAGAGGGGGACGTGACCAGCGGCCCGAGATAAACAAGTCCCTGTCCTTGGGTGGGAGGGACAGGAAGCAGGACCCCAAAGAGACGCGTTTTCGCTCACGATCCCCCTCCCCTACTCTCCAAGGTCTCCTCGGACCCAGCCCTCCGGCCTCAGAGCGTCCTCACCTCGGGAGACGCAGGAGCCCATCACGGGCCGAGCGACAAGCGGCCGTCCTCCTTCCGTCCGGGGCTGGGCTGGCCGCTCATGTCTCCCGGGCTGGGCAGTGCCACTCCGCCGCCACCGCGGCCCCAGCTCCAGGCGGCCCGGCGGCCCGAGCGACGGGGCCAGGCTCAGGTGCACGCCCCCCGCCCGCGCCGCAGACTCCCTCGGCGCTCTCTAGGGCTCCCGGGGGCCCCGTTGAAGTTTGCGGCCGGGGGCCGGGGCTAGGGGCGCGAGAGCCGCGCGGGAGGCGAAGGGTGAACGCCGAAGAGTAGCGGCAGCGGCAGCGGCTGCGGGAGGAGGCAGAGGGCGCGGGGAGCCGGACCAGCGCCTCTGGTTCCTGCCAGGCAGGAAGCCTCGGAGGATTCGCCCGCTGTAGCCACGTCCCCTCCTCCCTCTCTCCGCGCTCTGTCCTTCTCCGCAGCCCTGCCTCGCTTTCCTCTCCGCTCTGTGCCCCTCTCAGCTGTGCCCTCTGCTCTGGCTGTCCCTCCCTGCTCTGCTTCGCCTCCGACTCTGTTTCACTTGTCCGCTCTCTATTTCCTCTCTCTCTTTTCCCCTCCCTCTTTCTATCTTACTTCTCTTCCTTCTTTTTGCAGCTCTCTCAGAATCCTTCCTCTCTTGCTTGCAAAAGGGTGGGGTTGGATGGCCCTTGGGGGACCAGGGCAAAGCCTTGAGGACTCCCTGGAGGAGAAAGCTAGGGCCCCGCCCCTGCCTAGCTTGCTCGCTGCCGCGGCGGAGACGGAGGAGGGCCAAGCTCCCAAGCACCTGTTGATCAGGCTGGGAAGGCCGGGGGCCGGAGAGTCAACAACGGTGAGCCTCCTTTCATCCAGGGACTGGATGGGGGATGGGGTTTGAGGTGCCTGGACACTCCCTGCCCTCAGCTATGTGGAAAGAGGGAAATGAGTTTCCTTCAACTGGAATTATCTCCCATCCTCCCATCTCCACCTGTGGACCTTCTTCCCATCCTTTAAGATCCAATTTGAAGGTCACCTCTTCCAAGTAGTTTTGTCACTCCTGCTAGCTAAAAAGCCTTTTTTCATGGCATCTCTCCCCTGCTAATTCGTGTTATATTTACCGGTACTATATTTATCTATCCCTCCACTAAAGTCCTGCTCTGATGCCTCACTGTGGTGTGGAAGAGACCCTGGGCTGTCCAAGGCCGTTTGTGCCTGTGGAGTTTATGGTCTGACAGGTCCTATCAAGCTCCAAACTCTCTGAGAGTTAAGTCATCCTGCGGGTTATCTGAGGACCAGTCACTGGCCACAGGGTGATGTATTTTTCATGGGATGCAACTCCTGGAGACCATCTTCTAATTTATAGCAGGGTCGAAATCTGTACTTATGGAGGGAATACCCACCTTGAGGAAGTTACAGCTCCACAAAGTTTTGAAGTATATTTATCTGTTTGTGAACTTCTCAAGGGCAGGGATTGCTCCCATTTTCCTCTGCGTATGTGCAGTGCCCAGCGGAGTCCCTAGCACACAGTAGGTGCTTAATAAATGTATGTTGACTAGAATTGAAGAGACAATTTAGTGTGAGTATAAAGAATAACACATTTGGAGTCAAACAATCTGGGCTCAAATCTCAGTTCTACTTCCTACTACCAGGATCACCTTAGGGGAAATCTTTTCTCCTTGCAGGACCTGCTTCCTCATCTATGAAATCCCTAAGGCCCTTTACAGCTCTAAAATGGGGGTTCTTCAATATCCTCTCCTCTAACTCAGGGCCCCAACAAAATAGGACCCGGAAGCCTCAGGTCTGGTTACCCCCTGCTGTTGCTGCTGCTGCTGTTGCTACTGCAAGATGCATCATCGATAGTGTTCCTGCCCAAGCCTGTGCTTCTCTTTAGCTACCAGGAAAATGACCAGAATCCTTTGAGGTCTTCACATGGTACTTATAAAGCCTTTGCCCAGCCATTCTTTAATTTGATCCTAGCTGATGCTTGGTGTGGTAGGCATCTGGCCAAAGTAGGCGCCTGGCTGCCTGGTGAGATAGGCAACGCAAGTATCATCTTCCTGTTTTACGGATTAGACAGTGAGGTTCAGGGAAGGCAAGAGATTTGCCTCTGGTCACACAGCTGATGGGGCAGCTAGGTAGTGCAGTGGATAGCGCACTAGGCCTGAAGTCAGGAAAATTTATCTTCTTGAGTTCAAATCCAAGCTTCAGACTTCCCCGTGTGACAAGTTACTTAACTGTTTGCCTCAGTTTCCTTATCTGTAAAATGAGCTGGAGAAGGATATGGCAAACCACTCCGGTATCTGTGCCAAGAAAACTCCAGGAGTCAGATATGACTGAAACAGCTGAACAGCAATAACACACAGCCAAAAAGTGGCAGAGTCTGAGACATCCTCCTCCTTGAGAACCCTGATCTCTGCAGCCATTATTAGGTGGAAGCTTGCTAATGGTGACCAGCACAATGAGATTTAGCATCTCATTGGAGTACAAGCTGGAAGGGGGCATAGAAGTCACTGAGTTCAACCCCCTCCTTGGACAAATAAGGAAGCAGACCCCGACAGGGAAGCATCTGCACCACAGTCACAGAAGGAGGAAATGACAGAGCTGGTATTTGAACCCAGGTCCTTGGATTTCCTGACATAGTCTTCTCACTACTTTGGACTGAGACCAATCAATTTCACAAATGCAACAAAGACAGCCCATGATGTTTGCATTAAACAGTCTAGGTTTCAGACGTAGTAAGGATCTTTACAACACAGACTGTCAGAGCTGGGAGGGCCTTTGGAACATAGAATGTCAGGGCTGGGAGGGTCTTGAGAACAAGGAATGTTAGAACTAAGAAGGGCCTCAGAACAAGAATGTCAGAACTGGGAGGGTCTTTAGAACATAGATTGTCAGAGCTGGGAAGGCACTTACAACAAAGAATGTCAGAGCTGAAGGGTCTTTAGAACAAGGAATGTTAGAACTAAGAAGGGCCTCAAAATACAGAATGTCAGGGCTGGGAGGTCCCTTACAACACAGAATGTCAGAGATAGAAGAGACCTTAGAACGCAGAATGTTAGAGCTGGGAGGGAAAATTTAGAGATAATTTAGTCCCACTCCCCCATTTTATAGATGAAGAGATGGAAGCTTAGCAAGACTTGATTTGTCTAAGGTCATATCACTCACTAATGAGGGACCTAGGATTTGAACCCAAGTTTTCTGACCTGCAGTTCAGTTACCTTTCCACACTATGTATGCTGCCTCTTCAGGGCTCCTCTGTCTGAGACCTCTTGATTAGAAGAAGGTAAGCTATTACTTAAGACAGATGTGCGAGGTGTCAGACAGTGAGGCAGAATTGAGTCTGAGCTAGAACCTCGGCATCTCAGGTGTCAGCTGATTGGGAGGTAGGATAATATTGTTTTGGGAGTCAGGGAACCCAGATTCAAATCCCATCCCTACCATTTACTAAGAGTGTAACCTGGGGCGAGTGACTTCCTTTCTCTGGGCCTCAGTTTCCCCATCTGTAAATGGGGGTTGAACTAGATCACCTCCAAGGTTTCTTCGAGCTCTATGTTTATGATCACTAAGATTAATCTCTGCTGTGATCATAGAGACCCTTCCCAGGAAGACATGGAGAGCAGCCCAAGGGGTCAAAGTGAAAGTAGCAAAGGGGGCCAGAAGACTTCAGGAAGGAAGGATCTCAGAGCTAAGACTTGTAAGTCCCAGACTCTTGGAGCTGGAATTGACCTTAGATGTCAGCTAGCCCAATAGGGATCAGGACAGTAATACAATATTCCTATGGTATTCCCGACAGGAGGAGAATTCACCACTTGAGGACAACCTGTTCCATTTGTGGACATCTCAGATTATTAGGGATCTTCTTCTGACATCTAGCCTATATGTGCCTCTTTACTGATTCCACCCATTCTTTTGCCCTCTGGGGCCAAATAGAAGGTCTAATCCCTCTTTCACGCAATAAACCTTCAAATTCTTAAAGAAACCTATCCTATCAAACCAAATGGTCTTCTCTTCAGGCTAAACCTGCCCAGATCCTTTAAGATGTCTTCCCTGCACATGGTCTCCAGTGCCATCATCATCCTGGTTGCTATCTTTTGGTGGGGGTTCTCTAACATTAATATCCTCCTTAAAATGAAGTACTTAGGATACAAATAATACTCCATATCTCTGAGCAAGGGGGTGGAGTGTGTGTGTGTGTGTGTGTGTACAAGGAGTATAATCTATCAGAAGTGGGCAAATCCTTAGAATGTTGAGCTATTCAAGAGTTTTATTCACAATCTCAGTTCATCACACGAAGCAGGACAGGGAGAGATTTTATCCTCATTTTATGGATGAGGAAATAAGCCTAAAGGGGCTAAGTTAATTGCCCAGGGTTACACAGCTAGTGAGCAGTGAAGACAGGAGTAGGAAGCAGGTCTCCTGAATCCTAATTCAGTGTTCCTTGGAACAAGTACAAATTATCCTCAGGTCATTGTACACCGAGGTCAAGGCAAGTAGATCCCATCCCAATGGAGCCAAAGAAGACAGGGGTGGTAGTCCAATCCCTGGGGGATCTGTGGCCATGAGGATGGAAATCTTCTTCAAGCCTTCCCCTGACCACTGCCCCAGCTCTTGGGAAGGAAGGTCTTGGTGGTTTCCCCCCCCCCTTTTTCTTCTTGTAATGAAATGTTTTATTCAGGCTCTGGGAAGGAGCACCCTGAGTCATGGTGACGTCCTCAGTCACAGCTGGTGACACATTCCCACCCCTGTCTGGGCAGCCAGTGCCAGTGGGGACCAAAGGAAAGGGAAGAAGAGGGGGAGGGGACCCTGCTGAAGGTTCTGAGGCTTGGGGCAGGCACTGTATCACCTCTTCTCCTGGGGATTCCAGTGTCACCTCCAGGAATTTAAACTGGCAGAGTGATGGTTATTCTGGTAGCAACAGACAGAGGAATGCCAGAGTTGAAAAGGGCTTTTAGAACACAGATGGGAAGAACCTTAGAACACAGACTGTCAACGCTGGGAGGGCCCTTAAGATACAGAGTGTCAGGGCTGGGAGGGCCCTGAGAACACAGAATGTCAGAGCTGGGAAGAACCTTAGAACATAGAATGTCAGA